TGCCGTTGACTCAAGTTTGACTTTCCTCGGGTAGACTTCCGTGGTAGACCTCAGTTTTTTGCGTTGACCAGTAGACCTCAACTGCGTCTACCGATGGTAGACCTACACGGTAGACCTCAATGTCACAAAATCTCTCCTTTTTGAGGAAAGTCAAACTTGAGTCAACGGCAAAACCAACTTTTTTTTTTAGGTAGACCTAAGAGGTAGACCTCCGAAAAACATTTTTCTCTATCAATTGCAAAACTAACCCTCCACGTGGAGTAGACCGACAAGGTAGACCTAAAAAAAAATATTTTTCTCAATCAATTGCAAAACTAACCCTCCACGTGGAGTAGACCTAAGTGTAGGTCTACCACTCATTTTTTTTGTTTGCAAAGGAAATGGCACAGTCAACTCTGCGTTGACCAGTAGACCTAAACTGAGGTCTACTATGTAATGGTAGACCTACACTTCAGTCTACCTTCGCAGACCAAAACTGAAATTCTTAGAATTTTGAAAGAAAAGTTACTTGGCCGTCGGAGAAAGGCTCTTCGAAGGTGATAACTTCAATTTAGGCTTCAATTACGAGTTCCAGTCATCACTGTAAGCTAAACAATTGGAAATGCCAAGACCCAAGATTTGAGTTTTCTTTTAAGTTTTTGGGATGAAAATGGAGAGAAAATGGAAAATAAGAGTTTGTGAGATGAAAGAAGGAGAAATGCTAGCTCCAAAGTGAGTTTTCGAGCATTAACAGCTCCAAATTGGGTAAAAATGGTGGTTGTCAACATTGATGATATGGCATTTTGGCAATTAAGTGTAGAAGATGAGGGGTGTTTGGTCTTTCAGCAGATCTGGTAGACCTAAATATCGGTCTACCAATCGAAAAAGTAATGGCATTCGTAATTAATTGGAAAAAACTGGACAAACTTAAAATGAAAAAAACAGGAGGTTACTTTTGCATTTGACCACAATTTTGGGTCTAAAGTGAAACAACCCCCAAAACATTTGTACAACATGTGTGACTAGTAGCTGATAGTAAGACTACAGAAACAATCAGAAAATGCAGAGTTGATTAGGCTCGAGCACCAAACCTAACTTGTAGTGCTGCTTCGTACTTTCGATCCCTCATATCTCGTATTGACTAGATGCGGTTGCGAACATGTTTATCAATAAGTTTTATGAGCAGGCTTGGAGAAGACGGAGGGTCCCCGTGGCGACTAGAATTTCTCTCTCTCCATATACTATTTAATATTTTATAGTACCTGCATTTTATTTTATCTGGATACATTATGTGGATCGGAATATCCGATTAAGATAGACGGACAAGGTGATTTGGTGTTTATGTTGAGTTGCTACTTGAGATCATTACACTTGAGTTATTACTCTTTTTTCTACCAGGTTCAAAAACATTCTAGCCACCTGAAAACTATATTTTTAGGTGTTTCAAACCCTTTAATCCCTGCTCATTTCGCAGAGAGATTGGGTCTTCAAAGAATCCAAGGAAAACCTCAAGTCAAGAACAAGAAATTTGGTTTTGTGATCGAGACTTAAACAGTAAAATTAACAAAGTTTGAATAGTAAATAATGGCTGAAATCCAAGATCTAAAGATAAAGATTTCAACTTTAATAAGAAAGACTAAAACTTGGTGCAAAAATGAAGAAAGACGACTCTTTTAGACTAATGCGAGTGATTTTTGAGTTAAAGGAGACAGCAGCTTTTGACTTTAAAACTTAGAACGGAGCTTCTAGGATGAGAAAAACAGAGGGAGATCTTCACACTCTCGTGAATGAAGCTCAAATGCAGGATCCAGCTCAAGAACTAGCTGTCGCTAGTGAGCAAAGATACAAGCAAGCTTTTAGTTCGAATCCTCTTCACCGATAAACTTCCTAAGACAATCGCTATCACGAGCTAGGAGATAGATCCCTAGGCTTAGATTATCAAGCCCTCTTACACACTTTTGCTGTGTAGAAGACTTGAAATCTGGGGCAAGGCGATCAAGAATGCCTCAGCTTTAAGGATACTAAGCTAGGAGAAACTCCTAAAGGTCCTAACTTTAACAACAAAACTGCTCCTTTAAAACTCTCAAATCCGCAAAGCCTAAAGAAATCTAAGCGACTACTCACTAGACATGCTTATCAAACCAATCCAATGAAGGAAGGGGTTGATAAACAAGCAAGCGAAATGTAAAATGTATATGCTTTAATGTACTAGTACGATTTTATATAATGGAAAGAGATGAAATCTTACAAAGTTTAAGATCTAAAAATAGATTATTTGCTTGATGAGAAAATGAAAGACAAATTACATAGTGGAGACTCTTAAAACCCTTCTTTTTTTTTCTCCAAGTTTTAAAGCTCCAAAACTCGGCGTTATTTTGCTCCTGCTTTGTCCAGCTGGACGATGGTCAACTCTACTCTTGGTCAAGATAAGCTTAGAAGTCGAAAATCAGGTTCCTAGAACCCGATTAACAACCTCGTCGAGAACTCCTTTGCGTCTTTGGCACTCCATACTCCGAATCAGCTCCAAAACTCCCAAAAGTACCTGATTTAGACTTCAAAATGCGATGTGTATGCAATGCAGGCTTTAAGAGGGTGTATTTGTGCAATGAGAGATAAGAGGACCTAAATGCATGCAAATGAAGCTAAAACAATGTAAATATGCATGTAAATATGTGCTAAAATGTGTTAATATATGGAGCGACACACACCCCCAAAAGCAATTTTCAAAGCGAAAACCTAGTTCTCTCCCGTTTCTTTCTCGACGGGTCCGCCGTAGCGGATTCGCCGCCCATCTCACTCGGACCACCAACAGCTTACTCTCTCTCACAATCATCTTCTTCTTTTCCTTATGGAGTCAATTCCAGATTCGTCAATTTTGGCAAAAGATTCAGAGAAATCTCCTCTAGTTGCTGGAAATAGCTCCGACAATAGGAGTTCCCTCAACCCTGATCCTCGTTGGCCATACTTAAATCGTTGGAAAGCACCAGAAGTTTCCAAAGCTTCGTCTTCCCCTGGAGAAAAATCATCTCCAGAAATCTTAATTCCACCGTTGTCTCCACCTTCATCCTCACCACCAGCTACTTCTTTGGTTGTTAATCTCCCTCTTAATGGCTCTGTTTCAGAAAAGGAAGTTGTTTGTGCTGCAACAAATCCATTGATTGATTGTAATCAATCAAAAGTTGCTCAATCCGAGTTAGCCAACAGTGGTAAGGAACTTGCGGAAAAGGACGTTGCTCATGTTCCCATTGAATCTCCTTCTCTCAAAGGTGCCTGGGCTAAAAAATTGGTTTTCTCTGGTCCCTCGATTGCTCAATCAACTAGAGTAGATACAGAAAAGTGGCCTTCTTTATCTGTCAGCAAGTCTAATCGTAGACAACAAGCTCGTAGATTTCAAGTTTCTCAAAGGTCAGAGGCAGTTGAAGATGACATTCGGTTTCCATGGGCAGCCAAAATGAATCCAGCCTCCAGAAATCTTTACAGGGCAACTGAGCCAGAGTATCTAGAAGATGGGACTCCAAAGGTAACCATTCCTCAACATGTCTTCTTACAAGGTTTAGAGAATCAGAAAGAGTATGTTTTAGGCCAGTTTTTTAGATGCTCTCCTCTGCCTGGTGGTCTGATTTATGCAGTCTTCAATAAGCTGTGGGGAAGAAACTGTAAGATTACTGTTAGAAAGCTAGGTGAATTTAACTACTTGTTCCATATTCCCCACGAATCCACTAGGACTTGGGTTCTCCAAAGGGATTTATGGCATGTGGACGATTGCTTAATGTTTGTTGCTTCTTGAACTCCTGAAGCATCGTTAGCTATCCCTGAGATTAAAACCATTCTAGTGTGGGTAACTTTAAAGAAAATACCCAGCATCTTATACTCTATTCCCGAAATTAGTCATATAGCCTTAGGTCTTGGTGCTCCTATGGTCACTCACAAACCAAGATTAGATCCTATTAACATGGGTGAAGCTAAGATCTTGGTTGAGGTTGAGTTGAGTAAAGGTTTTCCACCTAGAATCGCTGCTGATGATAAAAAGGGTTTTATCTCCATGGTTGATGTGGATTATGCGTGGTTGCCTTCAAAATGTGGTAGATGTGGCTAGCTTGGCCACAAGGTTAAACACTGCTTAGAGGCTGCCAGTGATCAATCTGCTATTGACTCCCTTGTAACTGGTGTTAAGGAAACTGTGAAACCTTCGAATGCTAGTCTTGAGTACTCGTCCATTCCTGTCTCCAAATCTGCTCAACTTAATTCTGCATCAGGTCATCAGGTCAAAGCATCGACTTATCTCCTTCTAACATTCCTGTCAATGATGGTAATGAATCAAACTTTGTTGAGCCAACTTCTACTATCACTATGGATGATCTCATTTCGTTAGGTACTATCTCAATTCTTGAGAATATGTCTGCTTGTAGAGTACATCATTATGCTCCTACTACCATCAACATTGCCGAATCTATTGAGACTCCTTCTGTGGAGTCTGCTCAGGTATGACTTCGGTCATGGCTTCTAACGGTACTTTTAGTAATAAAAATATGTTAAAAAAAAAAAAAAAAAAAAAAGTGTTAATATATGGTTATATCACCACCTTCAGTGCGGACGGCTTTAGGCCACGTCCTAACTTTTAATTAATTTTTAGGTCACATTTTCATTAACAATGTTAGTTCGTTGTGTTTCGATGAGACTTTGAGCTAACGAATCCGAATCTTGTAATGGCACTTCTTACTTTGAAATCATGATTTTAGTCTTTAGATAGTACTTATAGTTTCATGATTCCTAAGTAATGTAATTTGTTTGTCTTCCTTTCATTATGTAAAAAGCATTGACCAAGGCAAGAACTCGACAGGACAATAAAATTATAATCAAACAAAACAGTCAGATAATATTAAAAATTTAGATCCAAAATATCTGAAACATAAAAGCAAAATATACCTTGAAGTCAAGTACAAAAATTCCAAGTGATCAACCAGATTGCAAAGAGTTTACTCTTCTAACACGAATGGCTAGAATCAAACCAAATTTAGTCATCAGACCACTATGATATCAAGCCCTGTGTGACCTTTAGCAAGTTCCTTAAGCTTGGTGATTGCTTCCTCTATCTCCAACTTGGTACTTGGAGAAAACGACAATAATGGTTTGATTTTCATAGTCTCGATCACCGTCTCTTGCGTTATCAAACGCGAGGCTAACGTGTACTCTTCTTTTGAACCGCTAAAGTTAAACAACCAGACAGTATATACACAGAAGCAAGCATCAGGAAACAGTTTTGTCTCTTCCCAAAACTTCTTATATATTATCCCAGTAGAATTTTCACCTTGTTTCATCGAAGCATTACTTTTCTATACATGCAAGAAAAAAAGAAAAAGAAAAATGACATGTAATACAAGCAAACGTACGTTGTGAATAAACATAATTAAACATGGTTAATTCCATCCATATCCAATAATAAATTACCTTGAATAAGATCTCAAGGTCTTCCATTTCTTCAGGCCATGAAACTAAGACTTCTTGTAGCATCTCGACTTCTTTTGTATTTGTCAAGTCTACGCTCACCGACAGCGATGCAAATTTTTCCATAAAATCACGGGAACCGTTCATTATGTTCATGTATTCGCGTCCAATGCTTTTCTTCTCCTGCATATGTCCAATGCATATGTCCAATGCTTAATTCATAAATATGTCATAATATTAATAAGTACTAGAGTTTGACCCGTGCTCAGCACGAGATGACAGTTTCTAAATTAATATTTTTCTTTTTGATAACAGCATATGTATTTGATTAAAAAATGTATTTATATTTTTATTAAAAAATAAAATTAATTATCTCAATTTTTTTTGCCACAGACTTTTTTGTTTCTTATCTTGTTACAAATTAAAATCTTGACTGCAGATTAAATATGATAAACTCAAATGAGATACATAAAACTCAAACAATTACAATATAATAAGATAGTTAAAAAAACTGAAAAAAAACATTATTCTTGAAAAAAAAATTATACTTCATGTATTTCATAAGATAAGTTGAAATTTTATAATATTCAAATTTGTGATAGAAAATATTTAAAATATTTCAACTTTTTAACCAAGTTAAACTATTTCAAATATTTTAATATCTTAATATAAATATTTTCAACTTTTTGTGAAATATTTATAATAATATAATATTTTTTGGTTCATTATATAGTTATATTTAAAAAATCATATGAAACCAAATATACTGATAAAATTGGATGATTATTAAATTAAACTTCCATGCTGATGGTTTATTATCATTTTGGTTCTTTTTATAACAGTCTTTTGAACTATCACATATTTCTATTTCCAATGTGGGACTTTGGTAATATATTTATTATTTTCATAATTTTAGTATTTGATATCTGTTTTTTAAAATTTAAATTTTAGTTTGTGTAAAAAAAAGGTACCTTTTTTTTTGTATATGCTTAATGTGATAACTTATTTATTTTTATAAAATTTAGTTCTACCAAATGAGAGAAAAAGTTTAGTATTTAAGAAAATAATTAATTTGATATATTTGAGAAGATATGGAATGAATGATAATATCATTATGATTAAATGCTGGAATATGTATAAATGATTGATATAAATTATTCTCTAATCAAATTGATGCAATGGCAAATCATGTAAATAGTCTAGTAAAGATTGTCTTAATTAAAAAATGTCTTGAGAGTGAACCTAGTGATGACACATCAGCATGGCATTTTTGTTAATACCACATGAGACAAAGGTTATTTTTATAGTGTTTTCTCTTTTAATATATTAGGGATTACTTAGCAATTAGCCTCATTTATTTCTCTATCTATCATAAAACAAATGCAAAAGAAAAATATATATTTATTTATTACCTGATCAGGGCACGAGATATAATAGCTGGTGTGAGGAAAAAAATTTCCTGTACTCCAATAGTTCCTGTGAAAATGGAGTCTAGGATTTGCAACGAGGAAGTTCTCCATCTCACACGAGAGAGATCCGATGGTGAGGATTTCCAGAGTTGGTGAAGACACTTCAACCCCATCAATATTGTAAGAGGATATATACAAGAACTTTAAGTGGCGGTTGTCGATTTTCAGAGGGCCACTTCTTGTGTGGCAATTGATTTCTAATTGAAGCACGTCAAGAGAAGGGCAGGACGCGAGAACTACGTTAATGACTTCAATCTCGGCAAAAATGGCATAGAGTGTTAGCCTCTTTAGATTCCAGCAGTTGTTGAAAGCATGTGGAGCTTCAAAGTTGTATCCACCTAAAGCGAGTGATTCGAGGTTTTGATTTGAAAATGAATTCGGAGGCAAATCAGGTGTGATGTGTTTGATGTTTCGCTTGAAAGGGCATAGATCGTTTTCAAGTGTGAGATGCTTGATGCGTTTCTCATGAATCAGTGATCGTATCCAAGCCTCCATCATCCCGTTTTCACATTGGTATGAGTAGAAATAGAGTGTGCATCTTTCTATATGGCCACGGTGATTGTTTATGACCTACAATGCCAAATAATAAATAGGTTTTGATTTTTAAAGTGTGTTAAATTTGAAGCATACCAAATGATGAATCCACCAAGCTCGAGTGAGCATGTAAAAGATAAATATTTTGTATGCAAGAATTTATTCTATGTACGATGAGGCAAGATTTAATTTATGTTTTCCTAGGATTCATACTCACTGATCCGATAACAATATTTCACAATCTAAATTCATTTTCAAATATACTAAAATATGAAGAAAATAAACCTAATACTTTTTCACGAAATACAAAATTTGTTTTTTTCTATAACCATAACCCGAAATTTGCTTGAAACTTGTATTGCAAAACTAACCTGTTTGGGTAGCGAAATTACAAAGGTCACCCTCATGAACAAACAAAAAAAATTTGCCGCGATTACCAAATTAACCCGGAGCGTAGGTCTACGCTTGCTGTCTACATATAGACTTTTATAGTCGGTCTACCTTGTATTTTAATTTTATATTTTAATTGGGAAAAACAAAAAAAATTTTGATTTTGATGAACCCATTTGCATACATAAATCACAAATAGTAATTTGCATCTTGGAAAATTATAATTGCATACAAATGAGTCAAATTAAACTAACATAGGCAAATTAGTTTGGAAAGCTGTAAAAACGTAAGAGGTCTACGGATGAGGTCTAATTAAATGAAACTTTTAATTTATAAAATAAATAGAAAATATTTAGATGAAAAATTTGTATTCATAAACAAGACAAAGACAATTAGAGTCCATATAAAATAAACATACATGTTAATAAGTGAATTTAGGTTGACAAAAACAAATTAGGTTAGAAACTTGCAAAACCGTGAGAGGTCTAACAACGAGGTCTACAGGAAAATGAAATCTTAAAAATAATTTTTAAAATTGATAAAAAATAATTTGATAAAAAACTTGTATGCATAATTAATTCTTATACATTTGACATCTATTGAAAATAAATTATACGAAAAATGAATCAGTCTATAAATGTCATGAGTAAATGTTTCAAATTGATAAGAGTTTGGATAGATAGTTTAGGGTTTAGTTGTCCAATTCTTAGGGTTTAGATAGTTTCAATTTGTATTTTTGTTTTTGGTTGGTTTTTTTGTCTATATTTAATTGTTTTGTTATCCAAACCATAAATATTGTAAATGGCAAACAAAATTTGATATTTGGTTCATGTTTTTTATAAAATTTGTGGTTTAGGGTTATGTAGACCTCAGTTGTAGACCGCGAAAACAAACAAATGCGGGAATTTCAAAATTTTTAAAAGAACCGAGCGGGAATTATGAGCGCGAACCAAAATTTCAAATATCTTAGACCGCAGTACTAGACCGCAGCTCCCTCGGGTGTATAAATAGAGATGTAAACCCTAATTTTAATTTTCTAGAAATAAATTATTTGGCTTCCGCCGCTCATCCTTCCGCCGCTCATCCTCCGGCCGCTGTTCTCATCCGTCTTCTTTGCCGCCGTCGACAGTATCAAGTGTTCCGGCGATCGTATTGGTTAGGTTTGCTTCTATTTCATTTTGTGGGTGAGATCTGGTCATTGAATAATTACTGTTTTTTAAAATAACTGATATCTTCTCATCGTACACAGGAATGGGGCGCTTTAGCTGGTTAACGGAGGGTTCGAGTAGCTCTGACCAGCTGGCTACTCGAAGCTCTGCTAGGGTAGTTAGTAAGGACGAAGAAGATGTGAGTTCTCATACCAGTCGAGATATAAGCTATGGAATACCGAGCAGATGCTACTGCGGTTTGTTAACTCCGCTGAAAATGATGGACCATACGGACGAGCATCCAGGGCGGATGTTTTTTGGATGCAAGAATTATAAGGTAATGTTAACTGTAAATAGTTTTCGACATCTTATGTGGCTTTGTTTTACCAAAAATATTGAAGAGATTCGTTTTTTTCATCATTGTAGCTTGGTTTCCCACATCTTATGAAATGGTGGGACGAGGCTATGATGGAGGAGTTTCTACAACTCAAATGGGCCGTCGACAACCCTCGTTTTGGCTTTCGCCAACCTGAATCTGAAGAACGCGAAACCTTGCTTCGGACTGAGGCAGAGTTAACTGATGTGAAGAACCAAGTTCTGAAGATGAAGCGTTTAAGAAGAGTCGAGGTGACGACGGCGGTTACTGTAATTGCCGTGCTTGTCTGTCTCATTAGCTACTTTGTGTTTGGTTGTTGAATGTAGCTATGTTGTGTTTGGTTGATGAATGTAGCTATTCGGGTTGAAACACTTAATTTGGTTGTGCGTATTGCAAATCATCGTATTCCTAATCAGAGACCTCTTACGTAGAACTCCAAATAGACCTCATACGTAAACCTCAGACGTAGACCTCAAACGTAGACCTCAAACGTATACACTGTGATTGAGACCTCTAAACACTAATTTAACCGTTAGGACTATAAAGTTGGGAATAAAGTTATATGAAAAGAGGAAACCGTAATTTAACCGTAAACACTAAGAAATCAGAAAAGATAAACCCAAATCGAATGGAAAAATTAGTCGAGTATAGTTAAACCGATTCAGTTAATTCGAACCGAAGAAAACCAAGTTAAACCATTTAACCGACATATATATACGGAAAACCGCTGTGGTAAGCCTCATTCGTAACCCTAATCTGTGTCTGACCTTTCGCTCTCCGCTAGAGGCGATTTCGTTGTCTCCGCCGAATACACAACCGCCGTCTCCGCCGATTACACAACCCGCTGTCTCCGCCGATTACACAACCCGCTGTCTCCGCCGCTTACAGAACCCGCTGCCGCCGGTAAGTTCTTCATTCTAGTGAAATTCTAACTACTTTAAGTTTATTTCCCACTGAGAGTTCTTTGGCCTTTGCATGTGGTGGTTTAATCCGTAATCCTTACTCCTTACTCCGCCGCGGTCTAATCCTTAATACTTCACCCCGTAAGTCTCGTTTCCGACATTGATTTCACGGGTAATTTTGATTGAAAAATTGCTATTATTACGAAACTCGATATGGTAATACTCCTTCTGTTTAAAAAACTGTATCAGGTTTCCAGATCTTCGTTGGCGTTAGGCGTTGGGATTTCGCGAACAACA